GATACAGATTGCCGACGTAATTACCTCTTCGCATCAGTGGCATTTTGGGAAGATCTTTTTTAGTTCGAGGTAACAGTAACGAAGCAGTTCATGAAGCATGGATTATGATATCAAAACCAATAGAACTATCTGCTAGTGCGCGTTATCTGCCGAATAAGGGCTTGATAAGCCTAGATATCGGCGGTAACCAACGAATTCGGACTAAGTGAATGGAGTATATGATAAATTTGTCGTCAAAATTATGTACTATATATAATACTACTCCAGGTTACTGAGATCTCGCTATATCATGTTAAATATAGGTATATTTTTATACTTTGTATAATCTGAATCTATATGTATATGATTACATCTATCTCCCAGTGTACTTTTTCCTTTTGTCTATACTACTAATATATTTGACTCTATAACAACTTCAAAGAACACAATGACAGTAGACTAATGGGGCGATAGTCCTAGGGGAGTATCGAATCCACTTTCTTTGGAATCAGTATAACGTCAGCGGTCTTCCAAGCCGCTGGAAAGTGCTGGGTCCTTAGCATGGCATTGATTATTGCCACGAGAGTTAGACTTCCGCGAAAGCAACTTCGGTGCCTTATTAGTGATTCGATCCTCTCCAGGTGCTTTATGCACCTTGAGTTTCTTAGTATGACCTTGAAGCTCTGCTAGTGTTCAATGCGGAATCTCATGCCATGCCGCTCTTCACATGAGGAATCTTCTGCAGGCCTCTCTGCTCTACTGCCATTGACGTTGTTGGCCCTAAAATATCTCCTGACGGATCCTACAATGTGTTGCTCCTCGTCGAGGTCATTATCAATGCCATAGTTGGGAGAGAACTGATTTTCCATTGCATCAGCGAAAACCTTGACCTGTTCATCGGTCCCACAGACTATGCCACCATGTGCGGGAGTTGTTCTCGCTTTCCGTCTCTGGGCGACTTTGCAACTTTCCAGAGAGGAATACTTGAGTCAAGCATCACCGACAGGAAGTCGCTCCATTGCTCATTACGGAATTCATGAAGAGCATTTCTCACTTCATGAACCAGATTCTGCGTTCTGCAAATGTCATATGGATGACAAGAAATTTTCTGACAAATGTCTGCAGGGAGAAAAGGTCTACCTGGTATTACAGCTGCACGCTGCAGAGCTTGCTGAACAGAACTTGTCCACTCCGCTTGAGCAACATCTATACCGGTCTCGTCACCTATGATCGGGGTATTGAGGAACTCTCTAAGTAGCGACTTGTATAGCTTCCAATCAGTCCGTTTCCTTGGAAGAGTTTCCTCTTCCCCAAGGTTTGGTATAGGTATACGAATCTACAGAGGACGATTTTTAAGCTGCGTTATAACGCAGAATCAGGAAATCAATATAAAAAGAACCATAAATCTATAAAGCGTAATCTTGATACCACAGAAAAATGCGACGACATGCGTTATGTAACCTTAAAATGCAAAAAAGGAAAACGTTGGGTGTCACACCGTTTGAATTATGAATGTGAAACGCGAACCTGTGAGTGGGCTGATGGTAACGAAAGAGAAAGTTTTTTTCTGGAGCTATTAAGATTGACAACAGATACCTTAGCAAAAATGTAATGCAACCGATAATGGAAGTGACGGTCTTGTTTCATAATCGGCATTCAAAATAATAAACATAGCTACAGTTATTTCTTTTTTCAATGCTCAAGCGGCCAAGGCGTTTAACATCCGAGGTAACGTGACAACTATAAAGAAGCTAAGGAGAGGTCGTATTGTATGAACATATGAGTTCTTCTATTCCGCATTTTCGGTGACAGCAGTCCGTGGGATCTTTGCCTTTAGTCGAATATGTGTAACTTTGTAAGGCATGATTGCCCAGATACCACACAGAGCCAGTGAGGCGGGAGGGAAGAAAAAAGAGATTTACGAGGAAAGTTTGTAGTAGTACATTGTTAACTAGAAGATTAATTCAGAAAATGTTTGCTGTTTTAGGCAAATTGATGTTGTGCTTTGTACAGAGTGAGGAAGCCGCTGAAATGGACATGATTCATATTTCGAGGCCATACCGTAGAATTGCGCATTTCATGAAATAATCCAGCATTTCACGAAATGGTCGCATTATTTTGCACCATATACAGGGTGCGGCAGCATAACCTCCTTTACTAAAATGTGCGCCATTCAGTCGGTTGATGACGTAGCGAAAGGCTAGTGGGTTTATTCAAAGGGCGTGACTGTTAAAGTTTTGTCCGCCATCATGCATTGAGACAGTGAGGAGCGTGCTCTTGCTGTTGAGGTTTACTTTTCGAGCGGATTTTCTGCGATTGCTTCCGGAATCGCTTCAATTTAGCCCCGTAGGCCCCCGTCCCGGACCGAAAAACTACTGTTACGTGGGTATCTACATTCAGACAAACCGCGAGTGCGAAAAAACGAAGAACTAGAGTCCATCGACCCATTAGATCACCTGAAAACATTGAGGCAGTGAGAGCTTCAATGTTGCGATCACCACAGCGCGTTTTGCGCGTAAGCATGCGCCTTGGCTTGGACTCTCCGATCGTTCTGAATAGAGAATTCTTCATCATCATCATATAGCAACTCCGGTAATTATACGCACCTATGAGCCATATTTCTCACATCATAGGTTTCCCCGTCGATTTGTCCTTAAAACTGAAGAAATGTTTTTAATGCGCGTCTCTTTCTGCTATCTAGTTTCGTACTGCGGCGGTACAGCGGTGGGTGCTGTCGCGTCTGATGATGTTTCAAGGGCAACGTTGCCAGATGGACAGTAACTACCGGTAGGGCAGGGAATGGAGGTCTATTGTATGCGCCTGTTTGACTGACTTGATCCAATTATTTCTTCTAGTGTATATGTTTGTTTTTTCCTCAGAGGGTTTAACTTTTTAGTTTTGTAGCACCGTCTAGAAAATGTGGTGGATGCTGTCAGTGTGACAACTCTTTTGTCATCGGCGTGCGATTTGAGTTTACGTCTTGTGGAGTTTCGTTCTAAAATATAGTAAAGCCCGCAACTTCAATAAGTAGACAATGTCGACAGACTGTGTCAAAAACTGAAGTATTACCAGAAACTGAATACTATTAATACCCACTTCAAGTGTGCATACAAGATAGCAACTGTGCAGGAAAAATCTGAACGTGACTTCAATTCTCGGATGAACGCATGTGAGCGTCTTCTTGAAGTCGTTGCTGAGGATGCAATTGTTTTTTGTTCTTTTTTGTTTTTGATTTAGCCATCTTTCATTTGTGAAGATCCGTCAACAATCAAAACATGCGCCACTGGACTAACACCGATCCTCGAGAATTGCAACAAAGGCCTTTGCATTCAACCAAAGTGACAGTGTGGGGTGCAATTTTGTCATCTGAAATTATTCTTTGAGACAAATGAAGTCGCAGTGGACCGGTATGTAAACATGTTACATGATTTTTTCCACGGCTTGATGTGTTGCAATTAGACTTCAAACAAGTCGGTGTACGACACACACTTCAAGAGCATCAATGGCTGTTTTGAGGGAACACCTTCCACAGCCACCTCACCTCAATTAGGGACGATTTTAAGTAGCCGGCTCACTAATCCGACTTGGACCCTTGTGATTGTTTCCGATGAGGTCTTTTGAAATCCCGTGTTTATGTGAACCATTCAAGATCCTTACAAGATTTTTGGATCAACATGCACCCAAACATAACGCCTGCTATGCTGGCAAAAGTCATGACAAACGCTATACGGTTTACTCAGGGGATGGAGTTTGTTTAAAAAAACAAAAAATATTCAGATTCATACATTGGGTTTTATTATTTTTGCTCGCATCCTGTTGTTAAATCGATTTGGTCATCCACGATTGACCTTATCGTAAAATAGAGTGTGCATAGTTGAAAAACGCATATTTCTCGAGCACCTTTTTTGTCTTTTAAGCTAAGATTTTTCCTGATTTACGGCAGTATCGTCAGTCGTTCTTACAATTGTAGGATGCCTTTATGGCATCCTTGATTTTCATAGTATTTCTTTTCCTTCAGGCAGGGGTATTTCCAGATTTCTCCTGATCCGTGACAGCGGTCTATTTTGAGGTTATGTTACCAATATCTATTTGCACCAAAGTGTTTATGCTTTTGATTCATATCATCTGCTTTACCAGCCAATATCTTACAATTCAAAAAGAACATATAGCCTCGCAATACTAGAACGCTGACGCTAACACGGAACAGTAGAAATCTAAAGGAGAGAAAATGCTATGAATTCCTCATCATATCCTCATTTGTTATTGTTAAAAACCATAGCAACGCTACTCAGATATTATCCAAAGCTACTTGATTATTATGTTATAAAAATGTGTTATCATCATGGTACAAATAATAATGCATTGGCACATTTAAATACAAATATCTCGAAAAATTAACAAGTAAACCTTTCTTGTTGTGGTAATACGAGTAAATAAGATTGTTCAGTCAGTTGTTGTATACAGGGTAAAACAAAAAAGTTACGATAAGTTATTTACCGAGCTAGTGATGTAAGTGTCGCCCTCTAGAATTTCGGCCATAAAAAATAACGGACTGTTGTTTCTTATACTAGAAAACCTCCATATACCGAGTTTTATTGTCAAAATCTGGAATACTTCTACAGCAATAAGAAAAACATGGAAAATAAAATTGTAACTTTGACACCCTGTATCTCGCAAACTATCAACTTTTGGACTAGGGTATGTTTAGGTCAGTTCACATATATTGGTCTGTAGTATCTCCAGTTTAGAGATTTCCCAACCTTTCGCAGACACTCTGTATACACGCCAAATCGTAACAAGCCTTTTGATTTCAAACAGCTCGACCAGCCATTTCATCCCTGTGCTCGTTTATGTGACAATATTACAAGATGCATTATTTAATTAATCTTCCATACTTGAGGCGGACCGTATTCCTGCATCCCCAGACCGTCAAACCTTCAAAGTCTTCCGTCATAGAATCATTATCAGTTCATAGTGCTTATATTGATAGTTGTACATTATAATATATATTATTTTTGCAGGTTATATCAACAACGCGGTGACAAAAAATCATGGCGAAAAGTCCATAAACTCTATCCTGGATTACACGTCCACATCCAAAGACATGGAGATGCTGCAAAACTTTTACGAAACTACCTTGGCTGCACTGAAGAATGCAAAGAACGACAGGTTGTGGTTCAAGACGAACACCAAATTGGGAAAGGTTTATTTGGAGAGAGAAGAATTCAACAAAGTGGCCAACGTTATCAGACAACTGAAACAAACGTGCAACACCGGCAGTCATGAAACTGATCCGCACAAAGGTAGAGACTTGGAATCGTTTTTTAGAATGGAAATCCCAATGACTAGTTTGTATATCGCTTTATTCTACCATTAGTTAAAATAGCGATGAAACGCAACAAATTGATGATTAAAAATAAAAATTATATTCTGCAGACACCTGGAAGGAGAATTACATTACGTTCATCAAATGTTTTTAGTCTAAAAAGGCATTGTGAGCAAATTCTTGGATAATTCAGAATTCAATCACGGTGCATTCACAAATTTTTTGTTGCATAACATATTCTAAAATAGCCAAACAATTGAAATAAGTAAAAACAATTTGTGGCGAACCTGACCTTTCATTTCGACCTAAAATGGAGCGCCGTTAGGACCGATCCTAAACAGATTCAACATAATTCACAATTCAAAAATGTGTACGCTCAAAATAAGACCCATTATTTGGGCGTAAAGTACAAACTAAGGTATATATTCAACATGCATCTTAATTCAAGAAACTGCTGTAACATACTGGCAACGCGGCAGATTGCCACGTCAGCGTTGCTGGGCAACGCGGTCCTGAGCTTCGCATATTCAGCAGTCATCTGTCTCTTTCTAGCATATGTGTATATACACACTTCTCTCTCGCGCACATTGAACTCAAGCTGAGAAATTTGGTCCTCAGTGTATATGCCCCCAAATTTGGTTACTTATTGTCAAGGGCGCCTGCAAGAATTTTTCTCAAAGGAGCTAGATCATGGGTAAGAGATACATTTCTGGCCTCTGACATAAAAATTAAAAACTTGACTGGGGGACGGATGGCAGATGACAACCGTACCCTTGTATCCTTAGGGTACAGTCTAAAATTGAGTAAAATATTAAATCCAATTTTTTTTTTTTTTTTTTTGCTTTAGGACTAAGCCATGCAGCCAGAAACTAGGTTGGTATATAGAATATATCTAATTATGAACAAACACACGACGTCACAACATCCATGGCGAAGGCTAGATTCGAACTCGCGACCCGGCCGGCCGGCTGGTCAGTAGCACGACACTCTGACCCACGCGGCCAACCGAGGTCCCATTAAATCTAATTAAAAAATGAACAATTTACTGTTAAAAAAAACAAAATTAATTCTACTTTTTTGTCTTCCTGCGAATCGATTAATATTAATACTTACCATCTCCTTTGAATCCAGTGCAACAACTTTTGTGGTTTTGTCCGTCACAGCGGCGGATTTATGTAATGGCAAAATGAACATTTCCGCCTGGGCCCCCCAAGGAAAGGTGGTCACAGGCCCCCCCAGCTCTACTGTCTATATTGTTCAGCGCGTCTAAATGTAAAATTGATAACAAGAAATCAGAGTGTTGTTGTATTCTTTTGATGACCATCTGCGTAATGTTTATGAAACAGCGCATTAGCATTCATGAATAAGAAAATTTCGTTTTTATTTCTTAAGAAATTTTTTGAAAAATGACTACCTATTTCATTTCTAAAAAAATGACCCAATGACCCTTTTATTTCTCAAGGAGTGGAGGGGTTATTTTTTTCATTTTGTGCTTTCAGTGATATATTATTACCTGGCATATAATGTTCAGTAAATAAATATCTTCGTGGTATGAGTCAGCCTCTTTTAGTCTGATAAAGACTCTAATGCGTCAATTACAGTCTTTTCACGTCTTCAATGCTTATAACCATAAACCTTCACTGTACATTTCTTTATTTGATGACATATCTATTTTCTTCGTGATAATATCGTGGAAGAAATTTTTTGAATGTATCATCAATTGCATAGAAGATGAAATTTCAAGAGTGGGAGCTTCTGGCGAAGATTTAATGAATGCTAGATCTCTCATTTCCTCCATGAACTGGAACTTTTTTTTTCAATTTGTTATGGTGGCATTCAGTATTGAGCGTAATGAATACCGTGCACGTTCAAATGCAAAAGAAAGAAATAGACTTGATGATGGCTCAAAGGTGCATTTCAGCAGCTTTAAAAAAATTAAAAGATTTGAGGAGCGAAAGCACATGCGATAATTTTGTTCCGAAGGCTAAGAATAAATGGGAAGGGATGGAATGGGAAAATCGAATAAATTACTACGAAGTTTGGAATTCAATGAGTAACGAATTGCAAGACAAGAATGATGTGTTTGGTTTTTTGATGCAAGAGAAATTAATCGATCTAAAAGAAAACGAATTAGAAACCCGCGTCACTAATTTGATGGAATAATATTAGGAATTTTACACTACAGATCTAAAATATGAATTAGCCAGTTTAACCAGCATGTACTTTTCGAAAAATCGTAATTTTACTAATGACAGCCCGCTAGATTATTTGAAGTTCATGATAGCAAACAATTTTGTATAAAGTTTTCCGGAGAGCTGCAGTTTATTCAGATTGTTTTTGACTTTGCCTATCGGTCCAGCTAGTGCTGAGCGTATCATGAGCTCTTTGAAAATTATTAAAGAATAGCGTCGAGCTTCTTTGTCTAAAGACACACCCAACAACTTCTCGAACCTCTATATCGAAAGATCAGTAGCTAATACACTCAATTTGGATTCTACGATGGACGTTTTTGTTGAACGAAAAGCAAGACGCGGGTTCAAATTAGAATAATTATGTTATTTTGTATTCAATAAAAAATGTTTGATCTCACAATCTCTACTTGATTCAGGTTATATAGAAATATAGTAAAACAAACAGAGGTAACAGTGCGCGGCAGATACTATTGTGCATATAATTGTAAGCCCCTGTTAATATGTGACATCCTTATTGCCAGCAAAATCTGTAGTTCAAACTTTATCTGAACAATTTAGATGGATCGAAAAATTTTAGATCTGCCTGAATATTGAAACAGTTGAATTAGATGTTTTATTGGCACGTTGAAGCAGCATCAGATCAACTTTTAGCATAAAGTTACTAATAAAAAACCTTTTGCACTATCCATGAACTTGCTTCGGTTACTTGTGCAGGTCTTTCTAATTTTTTTATTCTCAGTTGCCGTCATTAATTTGCAAATAGCGATAAATGTGGAGAATATCACTTTCGCAAATAGTGCCCAGTATACAGGGTGTCCCAGAAGTCGACGTCAGGCCGAAACCGGGTGATAGGCAAAGTCATAGCAGCTATCAGAAAAATATTTAAAAAAATTTTATGTATGTGTTTTGAAAATTATAGGTATTTGAAAAAGATATAGAAAATTCACACCCTACGGCAGTCTGACAACTCCTGTTACTACAAATATTAACTTTTTTTGGATTTTATTTTTACAATGTAATGATGAATACCTTTACAGCAAATGCTCATGTTTTCCTTCAGCCGCAATACACGCTCGAAATCTTCTTAAAAAAGATCGGGTTATTAAACGAGCGAATCCACGGTTATTAACAAACTCAGCTGCTTCCAATAGTCTTTGCCGTAGCTCAGCTACATTTTGAATCGGCTTGAAATACATTTTTTCTTTTACAGTTCCCCAGTAAAAAAATCTAAAGGATTCAAATCAGGTGATCGGGCTGGCCACGGTATTGTACCAGACCGCCTTATCCATCTGCCTGGAAAGTTTTGATCGAGATACTCTCTCACTGAGACTGCATAGTGCGCTGGGCAGCCATCATGCTGAAACCACATGTCCCTGTAAATACTCAGTGGCACGTCCACCAATAAATTTTGTACATGCTTTTTTAAAAAATCCAAATAGACTTCAGCAGTCAAAGTCTCTGGGAACTCAAACGGACCGATTATTTTACCATTTAAAATTCCTGTCCAATGGTTTATCTTGAAGCGATATTGAGATTTATCTTCTCTCATCAAATGTGGGTTTGCTACGTGCCACTCGTGTAAGTTATGCAGGTTCATGTACCCATCTTTCTTAAATGTGGTCTCGTCTGACCATAAAATCTTTTCAAAGAACCGTGGAACCTGTGTCTTTCTAACATTGTGCGACAATAAGCAACTCGGGGCTCATAATCCCGGGGCAGAAGAGCTTGAACACGCTGTACGTGGTATGGATGGAGCACGTTTTTTTGCAAGATTCTATGGGCTGTACTTTTGGGCACACCTGTTTTTAGTTCGATTGTACGCACTGAAGTACTCGGGTCTTCTTCGCCAGCTCCTAGCACCACGTCTTAGTAAGGAAGGAAAGATCTTCCCTCACCGTGTGATTGGTTTGGTAGTTGGCCCTCTGAGAACAGTAAGCGGTGCACATTTGTGAACACTAGATTATCTGGATGACCAGCTGCATTCGGGTACCTCTCACAGTAAAGTCTCGCTGCAGCACTAGCGTTGCATCTGCATTCCCCATAAATGAGGTGCATGTTAGCATATTCTTGTACGGTGTACACGGACATAGCGGCACTGCACAATCACACTATCAAAGATAGTCTAAGGAAAGCAAATGTTGTTTTGAAGAGCAATTAAACAGTCCAAATCCAAATCACAAGCGATCAACAGTCCAGTTCACGAATCCAAAATTAGTAACAGTACGAAATCAACAAGCACGAACATGTAAAGATGCGCAGTAAACGAAGGAGTACTGATCGGTATCAAAGTGTGCAATATCAAGTAAGTGATGTGCTTCATCCATACCACATACAGCGTGTTCAACCTCTCCTGCCCCGGGATTATGAGCCCCGAGTTGCTTTTTGTCGCACAATGTTAGAAAGACACAGGAAAGATCCACAGTTCTTTGAAAAAATTTTATGGTCGGATGAGACCACATTTAAGAAAGATGGGTACATGGACATGCATAACTTACACGAGTGGCACGTAGCAAACCCACATTTGATGAGAGAAGATAAATCTCAATATCGCTTCAAGATAAACCATTGGACAGGAATTTTAAATGGTAAAATAATCGGTCCGTTTGAGTTCCCAGAGACTTTGACTACTGAGGTTTATTTAGCTTTTTTGCAAAATCATTTAGAAAATTTATTGGAGGACGTATCACTGAGTATTTACAGGGACATGTGGTTTCAGCATGATGACTGCCCAGCGCACTATGCACTCTCAGTGAGAGAGTATCTCGATCAAAACTTTCCAGGCAGA